CTTGATATTATATCAATCGCCTCTTGTCCGTTGTGAGCGATGATGACATCACATGCCGCTTTCTGTAAAAGCTTGGCAGTCACTTTCCGAACGATGGCATTATCCTCCACCAGTAACACTCTGGGTGTTTTATTTGCTGCAGAATGATCTTTCGAAACTCCTTGCGGCATACTTGTCGTCTCCGTCCGTGGGGACACATCAACTGTGGCACCACCAAGTCGAGCCTTCGGACCACAAGAGTCCACACTTGAGTTCACAACTGGGAACTCTATATCAATCACTACATGGTTGCCTCTTCCTTTGATTGAAGAAAACATGAGTTGAGCCCCTAGGGTCTTTAAGTACTGATTCGCCAACACAAGACCCAAACCAACTCCGCCAAAGATTTCCCCCTGACTGGCGGAGACATCCATATCGAAAGGATTGAAAATTTTGTAATATCGGAAGCACTGTATCCAGCTGAATTGTCAGTGATGATAAAACGATATTTTCGAGTGGGCGGTGACGAATCGTCGCTGGCTTCGGTTGAAGAATTGGAGGAATTAATTTCTTGTACCGAGAACGCTACGTTTCCGTGAGGGGGAGCGACTCTAATGGAGTGCTCAAGTATTCTGTAAAGACTACCACGTAATCGGTATTCGTCGGTGACGATATCTGCACTTTTGTCTTCCGAAGGTACGGTGAGGTCAAATTTTAAAGATTTCACAGCCAAAGGAAGTTTTAGTTCCTCAGTAATGGAATCAATCATTTCTTTCAGATTAAAAGACGTTATATTCATCGGCAGTAATCCCGCTCTCAGATTTAGAAGTGAGAGAATATCCTCTACCAATGATTCAAGAAATTTTGCCGCAGAGTATATATCGTGATTGGCTTCCTCTGAATTAGGGTGGTAATCTAAAAATCCCCGTTAGTTTTGTCGATTTGCTGTAAACATGCTCCACACAAAACGTACCATCTGCATCGGACAACCCTAAAATCACATGGACAGGATTACGAATCTCGTGGGAAAGGAAATATAAAATTTCCGTTTTAGCTTGATTGGCTTTTTGCGCTTCATATTTTGCGTCCGATAGTTCTTTCAGTACTTTGTTACCTTCTGTCAAGTCTCGTATTAACATAACGTAGCGCGGCATCTGATTTGATGAATCATGGGTTCCTCCCAAGAAGAATACTTTCGCGGGAAACAACCTTCCATTTGCGCATCGAATATCGGTTTCAAACTTATCCCGGGAAGTAGTACATAAATCGTGAAACGATGGCATAATTTTAATTACTGGAATGGGACTGTCTAAAGAGAGTAGGTCTTTACAATCGTATCCATATCGCTGTAAAAACTGGTTGTTTGCATCTGTGGAAAGCTGAAACGTTAATTCATTATTGAAGTTGATGTTGACAGAATACTGTTCATCGTAAAATTCGGCCAAAGACGGAAGAGGGGCGACAAAGAGAGCTTTATGTGCATGTTCTCGAGGAGACTGCCTCGGGAGAATGAAGTACTGAAAATATGATCCACATCATATGCAGCCAGCATAAACCCAGAAAGGACACCACTGTTGGCATCGATATATGGTGAAGTGATGTTGAGCGGATGAATGATGAAAATCCCTGTTCAATAGTTCGGTGAGTAAATAAATTTTAAGGATCAGAGATCTAATATCATATATTTATATATATAATATCTCTTTAATAAATAATATTAAAAATATCATGGATCATTATAATCATTATTTTATATTTAGCATTTAAACTCACCTTTCTTCAGACTGACCAGAGGCATCTGACCAGAGATGGCGGCGAGTCTAGTTTGTTCCGCTGAAGAAGACCGAGTCATCAAATTAATCATTCAACAAATCATTGATAATGAGAGAATCTTACCTTTCTCTATAGCGGAACGAGCAACAGGAGCTTCATGCAAGTCGTCGCCCAACCATGGCTTCGGCTCTTCATCATCTATCTTTAAAATTGCGGGAAAGTACACATCGGCATCCGGAACAGGAATCGGCAGCAAACGAGAATCTTTTGACAGATCGACATGATCGTAATTTCTAGTCGTAATAGTCATATTGTAATCTCTTTCCCAATCTGCTCTGCGACTATAATGAACTCGTAATCCAAACATAATGTGTCGTATTTCTGACGAATTCCAAGAACTATCGTCTCCGAAGGCGGCGAATTGAGACTGGTTCAAGTTGGGATAAACATTTTTGCCAAAGCCGAAATATCTAAAGGTGAAAAGTACATTTAGAGTCAATGATATGATCGGTTTTACCCGATCTTTCAGGAATGTCGCATTTACAACAAACCTACCAATGTCGCAAAGTTTGGCTGAAGATTCATTTTCAGTTGAATGGCCAGATCTAAGTAGAGATATAGAATTCTATATCCATCAGTCCAATTTCACTCAAACGTTTTCAGGTAAAACTATCGCAAGGACGATCGTAACCATAGACGCACCTTCACATTGATTCTGAAAAAAAGCGGTGAATCGGTCGATCTCGGTAGATCGAAACCGGAAAAAGAGGCCAAACGATATACCTTGAGAATAACTTTGTCACTCTCTTGAGTATAATTGCCCGAATTACCATAGATTAAAGAAGCTTACCGACGCCTATCAAAAAAGCTACCACTGTCACAATACCGGACAAGACTGAAAATTCGAAAAAGCTTTTCAGTACTCTTAGTGTATTACATGACGTGCCGGATCTCGAATCGTTTAGACTTGACGGCTGCACAGGATCATCGGAGACGGTGGAAGCGGGCAGGTTGGCGTGACTCTGTTCCGTCATAATTGCTGCGGATGGCTGTATCAGTGAAGGCGAGGGGATGGTAGACGACGTATCATCAGGAGGGATGGACGCAGCCAGCGGCGGCGGCGGTGGAAACAACTTTTTTGGCTCTTGGAGGAGGGTCGTGCAATAAGGGCACTGACCAAGGAAACACTCCCGACAACTGCAACACTCATGGCTCGGTGACCATCACAGCATTGTGAGTGTAAATTGGAAGGAGCTGCAGCCCGAGATGATGATGTATTCAGTATTATATCGATGTGTACTTTGCTGTATATGTGTGGGTTTCCATTGTTCTCTATATTTCATGTCGTTGTACGCGGCCACACTTTGCCGTTCACGGTTCTTAATACAGTCTACACTCTACAGTTTACACCAAGAGTATTCTTGTGACCTTAATTGATCAATGTAGTATTTTTTTTAGGTTCTCATGTACCGGATGGGTGAACTCCCGTTATTGAAGGCAGTAAGATCCATGCACGAACAAGCCATGAGTCGTGACCCAACGCAAAAAATGCAGTAACATGAAAAAAGATTGAAAATACTATTGAAGGTGCTTTCCATTAATGTAATATTGCATTGCACAATATCTGTCTGCTGCTGTATCCATTATCCATAGTAGTTTTGTATTCGTTGAGTGACTTGAGTCCAGTGAAAGTTCTCCCCTTTAGCACATTCATCCATGTACCTGTACACCATCAATTCTTGATAAGCCCGACAACACCAAATCCAGCAACCTACGGAATCCGAAAAAGTACACAAGAATGTCAGACCTCTAGGTCTCCAATTCTTCTTCATCTCTCTTCATCTCATCGTCTTCTTCGGGAAATGTTTCGCCTATTTCGGTAAAACGTTCAAATCATCGGTCCAGTTCGGACAAATCATTTTCAGGATTCGTTGCCACACATTTTAGTCACCGAATAGTTATTTGTACTTGTTTGGATTGGTGAGAACACTAAGAAAGGTTTAATTTAATTGCTCTTTCAAGTGAGGTGGGAATGTTTCATGAGAATGGTAGTAACTGAATTTTTTATTGTTTTATTCCGGCCTTCAATGAATTTGTGCTTTCTAACGGCTCTATGTTAATCGCAACTAGGTTAGGGATCGATTGTGTCGTTGGGTTCCGCGAAAGTGTAGTTCAAAAAAAATATGTTTATTGTAGTCCCGTTGTCTCATTTCTCACATCTTTTGTATCAATATGTCGTTCTGTCTATATTCTGTTACCGCACAGTCGGTTTCAATATCTTTTCCTCCTAGTTTGTTTGCTTCAACCGTCCCCAGGGCGGATGAGGCTTTAAATGTACCTTTCATTAACAGGGGCGAAATAAAATTAATTTTCTTTCAAGGACAAATAAAATTGGTTCAATTCCCCCTACCCTAACCACTATCTTTCAACCTGTTACTGAGGTGATTTTTATCACCATCGATCCTCCTTCCGTCATTACCGACATGAACATCATCCACTTGGCCTACTTTTTCCTTCTCAAATACTTTCGGTCTACTCCATTCCCACATGAATAGAGCTTCTCATGACAGTCTCGCGAATGCTACTAATGACCAGGACCGCGTTAGAGAATTTTCTTCCAAGACTCTAATCAATCATGCGCTGTCGGTGGCACCGATACAGAATTGGCAGACTTCAAAGATTTAAAACCCGACGTGGAAGTCGACGGTCTGTGAAGAGTCAAGAGCGACTATGATTCGTAAAGACGGGATAGATTGATTAACAGTTCGATTACTTTTTGTGCTAACGGTTCCACAATCATGTTGTGAAGTCAACGCTTTCTGTACTTAGTAAGAATGGAGTAGAACTCGAAGGAACTACAATTTTTTATTTGCTGGCTTCAAGTGTTGACCCAACCATGGTGTAATCACATATTACTATCGTTTATAATTACAACAGTCCATGACGGGGGCTTACTCTCTCATTTGAATTTGATGTATTCTTCATTGCATCATCCTCATTAGTGCTGATTGACTTTTATGCGATAGAGATTGCGCTTTTACATACTGAAATTAATGTCAATGTTGTAACTTTGTTACTTTAGACATTCCCCGACAAAAACGAGTTATGCATGTGATCGAGAATTATCCTGTTGCTCTTGCGGAGGCCAAACCACCAATGATTACAGTAGCACAAATTCTCCAAACAAGATTTTCTAATTGACAGTAGAAAAGATAAAAAAAAAGAAACGAAACACATTCAAAATAAAAAGGCCCTACCCAGATTCGAACTGGGGTCTTGGGATTCAAAGTCCCATGTGATGACCAACTACACTATAAGGCCGGTTGTCGGAATTAGTGCAAGATATGGTTCTATCGGCTGCACCACTCTAGCAGCACTGTGACGAACCCAGGACTTGACAAAATTCCAATCCTAGTCAACGATACGCTGTTCTAAAAAGTATTTTCGGTCTCGCTTATGTGGCCTTCACTTGAGCTCGCAATTCTAATACCTTGACTATGATCTATATAACTTAATATAATCATCTGATTGACCACCGTCGTCGTACATGCAATCTAAACCCAAATATAATAATATAAGTGCAAGTATCACGTGACTCGTCTACTTAATCGGGCCGAATTCCGGGACGAATCCAAAAAGTCGACATCATTTCAGAAAGTGTTAAACCATCTATTGCTATTAGTATCTATCTACCGTATCGTCGAGCTTGAGGCATTTTTAATTGCGGGTTGTTGTAAAATGCAGTCTGCGCTCTGTCTGCGTTGTCTACGAACGTCGCTCAATGCAAGCATCACGAAATTACCGTCGTCCAACCTTTACAAGGCCCGCATCGGTTCATGGAGTGTAAAATACTTGTCAATAAGAGGTATTACTTGATAGAAATTGAGTTCTCGGTGGAATTGAGTAGAGTTGGAATTGTTGCAGATGTCCTCTGTCCAATTCATCACTATCCTTTGGCATCTCAGTCTCCAATGTCAACATTCTATATGGAGTTGCGGTGTTTTCGTCTTATAATCTCTTGCACTAAAGTATTTATTTTATATTTCATCATACAGGTATCTCGTCTAGCGCTTCACCGTCGACGGATTTCGCACATTCGATGACACCAACAGCGGCGTCATGCTCTATTCCTTCTCAATCCAATGCCAACTCTCCGACTTCTGCTCATTCACACTCTCCATTTTCTCAAATCGGGCAGCCTCACCATTCGACACATCCACATATTTTGAAAGACTCAGAGTTAACGGGAGGGATTACAGTTGAAGAGTACGAGAGCAGGAGGCAGCGGTTGATGGAAAATGTCGACAGCGGTGGCAAAGTTGTTATATTCGGAAATCCAGTTTGTTTTAGCACGAACAAAATATTGTAAGTACAAAATTACTATATTGGTCTTGCTGCAGCTGGTCAGTGGTCAAACTAATTTGAATTTCCTTCTTTCATGAATTTTCCTCCCCCTGTTCGTCCGCCTCCGGTATATCAGTTATCCATTCCATCAGAACACAGATTTCTTCTACCTCACAGGATTTAATGAACCAGATTCAGTATTGGTTCTAGGTGCGTTGGATTATTATCGAGGGTCCACCCCGGCCAACTTACTCATTCATTGTTTTAAAAGAAAAACGAGATTCGCTGCCACGAAAGTATAAAATGACCTTATTCGTCCCATATAAAACTCCAGAGGAAGTGACGTGGACTGGACATTTTGCCGGTAACATCTGACTTCTCGGTTCGGCCGTGACTGTGTCCGTTCGACCATTCGTCACCATTCATCCTCTTAATCTTTCTGTTCAATAGGACCCGATAATGCTATACAGATATTTCGTGCGGACGAATCGTACCCGACAGAACACTTTCACAATTTCTTCTCTCAATTAATTCATGAAGTCCAAGTGCAAAAATCGACATTGTACATCGAAGCACCGCCAATCGTCCATTCTACCAACCTATATCCCACTCATATGACTCTTTCACATTCTTCGTCTCCGACTACACATACATGGAAGAATCGAACGGGAGTGCTGGAAAGCGTGAAGGAATGGTTTAAAGATGGCAATAGCGGGTGGAGTTGGCAGGGAAACCAGCACCGCGGCTTAGGTAGTGGAAAATCGAAAATGGAGTTTGATGGGCTGAGTGTTAGACAAGTCAAAAGAATAAGTCCGCTGATTCAAGAATTGAGATTAGTCAAAAGTGAAGCGGAGGCTACGGTCATGAAATCTGGTGGCGAAATCAGCGGGAGAGCATTTCAAGAGGTTTGTGGTCATTTCGTCTATATGTCAATGTCAAGGTAGGTAATGTAGGGTAAATTCTAACATTTTCGTCAACGTAAATTGTGAACAATTTCTATCACATAAGTTGATGCGTCGCACTCCGACTTTAGATACAGAACACCAAGTGGCCAATTATTTTGAATACCAAATTCGACACAACGGCTCAACAGGTTGCGCCTACGTTCCCGTGGTGGCATCAGGTTCCAATGCGTTGGTGTTGCACTACGTACAGAATAATATGGTATTGAACAAAGGTGACATGGTTTTGGTTGATGCCGGCGGTGTAAGTCTCGTTGCTTGATATCCGCGTTGAAGTAATGCAATTATTAAATTTTGAAACACGCAACAGGAATATAATCATTACGCTTCTGATATTACTAGAACATTTCCAACAAGCGGAAAATTTTCCGAGCCACAGAAAGAGCTGTACCGAGCGGTGTTAAAAGTGCAGCGGAAATGCATTGAGGTACTTTGGTCTTCTAAATCTCTATTTGTAGTCCTGAATTCTAATGCGGTCTTGATACTCTGAAAATTGAAGCTATGTACGGCACGGTCAAATCTGTCATTAGATCAAATACATGATTTCTCAACAGACATGCTATACGAAGAATTGAAACTGTTAGGCTTTACATGTCCCAAATCGGTACGCCCTCTATCTTCTGATTTCCGTATGTCTTTTTGATGTCCTCGCATTCTAAAATAACATCTCCGATAGGACGTATCGAATGTACTTTATATACACCATATAGGACATTATCTTGGTTTAGATGTTCACGATACTCCCGACATTAGTCGGAGCAGGAAATTGCAGAGCGGCATGGTTGTAACAATTGGTACGTAAATCAGTTTGGGCAACTCCATTCTCAAGATGTCTAATTAGTTTGTAATGGCGTTGTGTTATCAACAGAGCCTGGTCTTTATGTTCCCCCCTCGCCATCGTTTCCATCACGCTACCACAATATTGGAATTCGGATTGAAGATAATATACTAGTTAGGGATAATTTTTTCGTAAATTTGAGCAGCAATGCTCCTAAGGAAGTAGAGGACATTGAGGCGGTAATGAATGGTGGTTTTTAGTGAAAAGCATTAATGATATTCTTGCCTGTGAGGCTAGATTGTTAAATATTGTAATGAATCGTTATTGCAGTTATTCGTTGAATATGGAAGGCTAGATTGGGATTCAATCACCGCGGGAGAATTTCAGTGCTTTCGGATGTAGGAATTGAAGAAATTTAACAGGCTCTATTCAACTATACTTCTTTAAAATAGATTATCAATTTCTAATTTAAATAGAGGTGTTGCTGCTCCACGTAATTTTTTAGATTGGTCATTGCAGACATCACTTGATACCGGATTATTTTCAAGGCTGGTCGAGAGTATGCAAATTGTTCAATCGTCATCAGGAATGTCTTTCTCGCTTCAATATCACCGCAATAGTTTCTGTAATATGAATTGGTGTCTTGAATGACGAATTCCATGTGATTCAGATTGTCGAAGGCGCTGATATTGTTATTATTGTCAAAGTCCGAGCGGCCAGAACTGGAAAGGGATTGAAATCCTCCTAAGTCTATTTCCATTCCCGTTGATGATGTGGATATAACTCTTTCATTGATAATTATAGTTATCTGAAACTAGAAATAGTACACTTTCTTAGCTCACACCGCCGGTTCAGACTAATTTCATTTCAAACCGACATTCCGCTTCATCATCAATCAATTTCATGAAACCTCGACGCACAATACTTTTCGTAATTTGTGTACTCTTTTTAATAGTAGCACTGGCACATCATTTTCAATATTCGGAAACAGCCATATTGAACCAAAATTCCGACCATGACATTCATCCAACGATGATACGGATAAAGCCAGACGGCAAGGAAAACGATCACCATCTTTCTTCGGACCGCTACAAGTTTGCGCCATCAGTCAATTCATCATTGCATCTCAGGTTCCAAAATAATCCGAGCGACACATTGCCAGGGAAAGTGAAGGCCGTTATTGTTGTACTGGTGAGGAACGACGAACTTAAACCGTGGATCAAAACGATGCAGCAATTCGAGGCTCGGTATAATAGACGATACAATTATCCTTATGTGTTCATTAACGATCAAGAGTTTTCGGAGTCTTTTAGAACTCTGACTGCTAAAACTACGAGTGCAAAAACTACGTTTGCGGTGATACCAAAGGAACATTTGGCTCATCCGGAGTGGGTGGGTCGGAAGGGAGTTTTTAATCGACATATGTTTGTATCAATTTCTTCTTGTTGATGATAAATTCTGATATCTTTTATCCCCTTTACTTACGGTGACTTTAGGTCTCGGTTCAATAGCGGTTTCTTCTATAAGCATCCTTTGTTAAAAGACTAGTATGTTGTCAACTTTACTTAGGGTGCCTTTCCAATACGCTAACGATACGATCATCGATTGCCTTCCTTCATTAAAGTGATTACTATTGGAAAGTCCATCCGGGCACTGAATTCGATTGTACTTTGGATTATGATCCATTCTCTTTCATGGTTCTTTTCGCCGTATTTCTTCTGCTTCCGTGTTGCATCCCCTAACACACTGTAATGATTACCCGCTTATAGGCACAAAACAACAAACTTTATGGATTTACGATAGCGGTATTTGAGTCCAGTAATGCTATTCCGACGTTATGGCGAAGTGTACGAAAATTCATGAAAGATAATCAAAACATGTTACCAAGAGAAAACACATTAAAATTCATCGTTAAAGACTCTGATGGGTTAGTATTACAGTTCTCCTTACTTCCTATCTAAGCATTGCCTCGTGTACCATATCTTACATTCTGTTTCTGTTTAATGAAGTGACTACAATCTCTGTCATTTCTTATCAAGTTTTGAAATAGGTGATCTTCGATTTTTTCGATCTCCTCAATACGAAAGATTTTTCCATTATCTTGACTCGACAGGCAACTTTTATAGTGAAGGATGGAGCGACGCAGTTATTCATAGTATCGCTGCTTCCATTTTCTTGCATCCCGGGCAAATTCATTTTTTCGAGGATATTGGATAGTACGTTTTACGTTTGTTTCT